TTAGGCCTATAGAAGAAATCTATGTGCTAAAAATTATAAAACATTGGTGAAGGAAATCAGAGAAGACCCAACTAAGTGGAAACCATGTTCGTGGGTTGGAAGACTCAGTAACTGGGGGGGGGGGGGGCGCCGGGGAAATGGCTCAGTGGAATAAGCGCTTCCCTGGCAAGCGCAAGGGCCTGAGTTCAATCCCTGGTTCCGCAAAAAAAAAAAAAAAAAGATAGTAATTCCAACTGTCCCATGTTCCAGTGTCAAAACGCTGAAGTTTCCTTAAAATATTGGCAGTTATGGGGCCGGGGAGATGGCTCAGTGGAATAAGGCTTCCCTGGCAAGTGCAAGGGTCTGAGTTCAAACCCCGGTTCCACCAAAAAAAAAAAAAAAGACTCAGTAATGTGAATATGTCAGTTCCCTAAAGTATTATGTAAATAAATTCAAGTCCAACCAAAACCCCCATAGAATTCTTTTAATAAATAACTTATGAAATTGATGAGAAAAAGCAAAGAACTAAAATAAAAGAATTTTGAAATATAAGAACAAAGGGGACTCAACCATGATTTCAAGTCTCACTGTAAAGTTAAGATCAGTAGGATAGTAGGATCACAAGTCTGCATCTTGTACAGCAATTAACCACTAAGAAGAATATATGCAGTGTATTATTTGTTGAAACTGTACTTTCGATTTGATTTGAAACTGTCTCATTGCTATATGTTTATCAATAAAACTTTGAAAAGAAAAAAAAAATCAGTAGGATAAGTATGGAATTGAGAAAGGATAGATACACACAGATCAGTGGAATAGAGTAAAGAAACCAAAATAGAACCACAAAAATATGTTCAATTGATTTTCAGCTAAGGTGTGAAGCCAATCCAATTTAGTGGAGAAAAGTTTTCAACAAGTAGTGTCATATGCCAGGATAAAGAACCTCAATCCATACCTCACACTTCATATGACAATTAACTCAAAGTGAGTCATGGCTCTAAATGTATAACCCAAAATTACAAAGCTTCAGAAGAAAACCTTCTTGACTTGGATTAAACAGAGTCTCCTTTAATAAACTACTAAAGGCACAAGCCATACAAGATGAAATTGACAAACTAGACTTCATCACAATTTTAAACTGCTCATTGAAATAATGCCACTAAGAAAATGAAAAGATAAGCCACAGACTAAAAGACTATTACAAAATATACACTTGGTATAAAGATCTTAGCTCTGGTATACCTTAAAAAGTCTCAAAATTCTACAAGGAAGAAAGGAACCAAATTTTTAAAACTGTCAAAAGATTTGCACAGACCCTTCAGTAAGAAAGATGTGTAAACAGCTAGCAAGCACTTGAAAAGATGCACATAATAAGGAGTCAGTTATGAGGGAAGAACAGATTACCATAATTCACTTCAATAGGCATCCACCAGAATGATGAATTCTGGAAATCTGTCCCTACCAAATACTAGCAAAGGATATAGAGCCACCAAAATATTGTAGATACTTTTGGAAAGTCTATTTCTTATAAAGTTAGACATCCGCCTCACACATCCCAGCAATCCTGCTGGATAACCACACAGAGAAATAGAAAATATCAATGCGGACACCACTGAGTTTCTCCAGCACCTTATTTATAATCATTCCAACTGGAAACAACTTAGATATCCTCTGTTGATGAACAGATAAACCATAATAAAATTAATGAACTGATACAACAGCACAAAAAATTGCAAGTGTACCTTGCCAAGTGGAAGAAAACACTTGAGTTGGCCACATTTAAACTGCTATGAGGGGCTGAGGAGATAGCTCAGTGGAATAAGTGCTTGCCTGGTAAATGCAAGGTCCTGAGTTCAATTCCTGGTACCACCAAAGAATTAAAAATAAAAATAAACTGCTATGAAACAGACAAAATGTAGGATCAGGAAATAGGTGAGTGGTGCCAGGCCTGGGGCACCAGGGAGTTTGACCACTGAGTCACTAAACATGTTGGATTGCCAGAACTGTTCTCTGCCATGAATGGTACAATCATAACTATAGCTTTTTTTTTTTTTTTTTTTTTTTTCCAGAACTGGGGATTGAACTCAGGCCCTTGCACTTGCCAGGGAAGCGCCTATTCTACTGAACCATCTCTCCAGCCCCCATAACTATAGCTTTTGGGTTTGAGTTGTATTGCTTTTATTTTGAGACAGAGTCTTGCCATATAGCCCAAATGGCCTTGAAGTCTTTAGCCCAGAGTGTCCTTGAACTCGTGGCAATCCTCCTGCCTTGACCTCCTGAATGCGGTAAAGGCATGTACAATTTGCTATCCATAATAAATTACATCTCAGTCAATGTGACTTTAGGAGGAATGGCTCTTCTTGAGATGAAGTCATACTGAAGGAAAAGTATAGTAAGATAATACAAGTGCTCTTGTTTGGGCGTAGATATCTTGAGCTCTGATGGTCACTTCAAAGCCACCTTGGCCTGATGATTTGCACTTAGAAAGGTACTCCAGTGAGGGAGGTGCCTTTCCAACCAGCATGGCATTCTGCACAGCCTCCTAGCACACTGCTCCTCGGCCTGGAAGGTGGCTTTGTCTGTATGTGTTAAAGATGGGAAATAGTGAAAATAAGCATCAAGATGAGGTGCTCCAAGAGTAGAGCACACATGTTCCAGTGGATAGAAGCTGAGGCCCTTGGCACCTAGCAGTTGAGTGTGATATTAACGCACTTCTTCATGGGTTCCTGCCCCTTTTCCTTCACCCAGGCCTTTCTCAATTTGATGGTCACATTCCTGCTCTGGATTTGAGTAACACATTTTGAAGCTTTTTTTTTTTTTTATTCAGAGTGATGGAAAATAAGACCCAGCCTCAAGATTATTAGCTTCTCCATATGAGACCCTGCTCTGTGAAATGCCCCCAACTACAGCTTCCTGTTAGCCTCTTGGGGACCCTTAAGTCTTCCTTTGTTTCCAAGCCCCTGTTTTGTCTTTGTGACCAGGAAGGAGTGAATGTCACTGGTTTGCAGCTGTCTTTCCTCTGTGGGAGGCCACAGAACTGTAATTGGTTTCTGTCTGAGGAAGAGCTAAGAGATACAGAAATCCTGTGTGTCATGATCTTCATCATGTAATGCACTGCTCACAGCCTCCAGGAGCTCTGCTCAGGGGGAAGCGCAGAGCTGAGTCTCAGGCTTTTATTCAGCTGGGAGGGAAATGGCTGTAGGGAAGCACAGTGGATGGGTAGAGCCCAGGCAGGATGATTGAGTTTCCTAGAAGGGGAAATAATCCTTGGCCAATCTCACCAGTCCCTCTGTTCTGAGGGGCCCTGGTCAGGTCCCCAGAGCTCCCTACCACTGCCTTCTCATGGCACTTTCTGCCCTTTCCTGTCTCTCTATCCCCTATTACCTCCACTGTACTTTCTGTTCTTCCCATCTCTGACTGACTTGTGATCCTGGTGGTCAGAGCTGTGACCAGAAGCTACACTTGAGATACATCATTAGAGTCCCAGGCCCAGCCATCTCAAAGGTACAGCAGAGGCCTCTTGATGCTGTTGGCTGATGCCCACACAAGTGGCAGACTCTCTGAGACCTACCAGGATTTCCATGTGCAGGCCCATGTGCCTCTGGTCCTTGCTGTACTGTTGTCTTTGAAGCCTCCACAAAGTCCCCTCACCCACGTTCAAGAGCAGTGGGCTCTGAGCAGGGACACAGAGAGCTGATCAAGGATTTGAATTTTTGTCCCCTCAGTTCATCCCACTCTGCTCAAAGCACCTTCTAGACCTCTTCCTCTAGCACACTCCCAGAGAAACCCGAGTCTCATTAAAGTACAATATCCCCTTCCTGCACAGGCATTGAGTTTTTTCCTTTATTATTGCTCTACATTATTGGTCATTTGTCATTTCTTTTCTAATAAGCTCTGGATTGTCACAAAATGAAACCAGTTGTTATGAATCCACAGTCTATCCCATGAGCCGTTGTTTCTAAACCAATAAGTGTTTCAAGGGAGGTAGTTGACACGTTTTCCTGTTATTTCTGGGTTGGGTGTCCTCTGTTGCTGTTGTTGTTTTTCTGCCAGATGTGAGTTTTTGCAATTTTCAAGAAGAGAAACAGAAAAGACAAACTGTAGGCCACCTGTGAGAACACTGAGAGTGTGAGTTTGCTTGTTTGTGTTTTGCTGTTAATGATGACACCAAAGGGTCCAAGGATGTAGCTCAGCAGCACAGTACCTGCCTGGCAAGCACAGGTCCTGAGTTCAATTCCCCATACCAAAAAAAAAAAAAAAAAAAAAAAGATGTCAAGTATTCAAGGAGATGGAGAACTATTCTATGAAGTTGTATGGACGAGAGCTGCTCAGAGCTCCCTGTGTGTGGAGGCTCCCTGATGCCCAGCCACAAGCACACTCACAGCACAAGTCCGGCCAGTCTGCTCAGGGTTCTTTAGTCCATGTTTTCTTTACCAGAAGAAGCAGCTTTTAAAATTACAAATATGGTTCTCTCTGCCTTTGCATTGTCATCCTGGTTGACCCTGAAGCCGGCCACATAAACTCTGTGCACTATCAGCCAGGAAAAAGTAGGATTTTTATCTTGTTTGATTTCTACTATACTTTGGGACTTTACAAGTGACTCTTAGCTTTCTAGCAGGGAGTCAGAATCAGCCAAATGTATCTCCTGGGTGTCAGATGAAGAAAATATACTCATATTGCACAAACAAGGGTTAGTGTCAACTCAGTAAGTAGGCAGTGCTGAGCCCTCAGGGTCCGGAAGGCACTGTCTGTGTCTGTGCTGACATCCCTGTTAGCCTCATCTTCAAGCCACTCCTTAAGGATCTCAGCTTCTCAGGCCTAGAGCATGAGGCAGAGAGGTGCTGCCCTTTGAGTTCTGCAGCTCCTGGGAACTCTCAGATTTGCCATGAACTCTGCTGTGTGCCTGGCTGTGGACTAGATGACCACAGGCTGGGCTAGATGACCCTGAGGCAGAGAAAACTCTATCTAAAAACTGACTATTTTCTAGCTGCTGAGAATAACTGGGTATTTTGTCATTAAAGATCCCTGAAGAACACGATCTGGAGAGCCAGATCAGAAAGGAGCGAGAGTGGCGGTTCCTGCGAAATACGCGTGTTCGGAGACAGGCACAGCAGGTCATCCAGAAAGGTAAGGTGTCTGAGCACATAGTCTCCCCAGGAGAAGAGGCTGTGCTGGGGAGGGAGGCAACCCGGCCTTGTGAGCAGATCCTCTGCCAGGCCATGGGACCTTTCCCCATGTGCTGCTGGTGCAGGGTATCCCTGCATCTCCCTTGCAGATAAAAGACACATGATGATGGAGATAAGGTCATTCAAGGTCATACAGCAACTGGAGGTGGGAGCAAGGAAAGGACAAACTGCAGGAAAATGCTGCCACAGGGAGGGCACCATGCTGCCTGGGGCACTATCAGCAGTCAGACCCCAGCTTCTGGCAGCCTCTCAGAGAACCAGTCTACCTATACTTTGAGGTTCCCTAAGGAGAAAAGCCCAAGCTCTCTCTTGGGAGTTCATGTCTCACCTGGCAGAATGTCCTTTTCCTGGGAATATAAAACAGAGACACCAGCCTGATCCTGTTCAATTGGTCTTCACCTGTCCCTGAGGTGCTTGTTAAGTCTGTCATTCAAACTGTATTGCAGTCATATCTTCACCAAGCCTTTTTCCAGCTTTGCCAACAGACACCAAATTTGCCCCCATGCATGCATCTTGTTTGCTCCCAGCCTTGGCTGGAGAATGGGCAATCAAAGGCTGAAGATAGCAAGAATGCACCACTGCTGGGGCCAACAAGAGTGAGCACCTGCAAGCAGGTCTGAGAAGTGCCCCCTCACCTCCTGGAGGTCATGCGAGATATAGGGAGACCTGTGGGTAACAGAGGTGAAAGTCAGGCAGCCTTACCCAGGGCCACACCCACAGTTCTAAGCACTAGGAAATGGCCATCCCACATCTCCAGCCCAGCAGCCAAGTCTCTTCCTCATGATCCAGCCATGGCAGGAGACCTACCACTGCCCAGTATAGCATGGCCAGACTTCAGGGCCCTCCCTTACTCTGTAGATTGTCTTTTGACCTCACCTCCCTGTCCTGTGGGATTCATGATGATCATCATTACCTTCTGAGTTGAGGTTGAAACCCCACAAGAGCGACCCTCTCCTCCCCCACCCCCTGGCCTCTGGCCTGGCTGCATATGTCAGGCTGGCATCTGTCTCTTGTCAGTTGACCTCCACACATCCTGCTGCTCCATTGAGCACCAGAGCCACCACTGCTGGACCCAAGGCTAGCCATGCGGTAGAAGCACTTTCCCACATGCCTTACCCACATCTGCTCACTCTGCCCAAAGTGCTGCTCTGCTAAGAACTGATCTGGCTGTGGACTTCTTCGTGCCTCCACCAAGGCATAGGAGACTACATTCAAAGCACTCAGTGTCTTGGAATGCAGTGTGTGCTGTCCTGGCAGCCACCATGCAGGCTTGTACAGTTGTGGCCCACTCACATTTTAGGCAGGAGGCAACTATCTAGAAGGGTGTATTTCTTTAGGCCCCCAGCCTACTGGCACAGGTCAGCTACATCTGACTCAGAGGCTGGGTTCACTTACCTCAGGAAATCTGAAAAGAGCTGTCCTCTACAGCAAGAGCCACAATGAACCAAGAATGGCTTTCCAGATAAAAATAAAAGAGTATCTTTTTTTAAAAAAAAGAATATCTTTTGTAAATCAGAGTTAATCATTCTTTTAAAAAAAGAAAGAAAGAAAGAAAGAAAGAAAGAAAGAAAGAAAGAAAGAGTGAGCTAGTGAACTTCTGGGAATATCAGTAGGTGAGACTGGAAGTCACTGACTCCACACTGGAATTGAGGGTACAGAGTGCAGCCAGGCACCCCAGTCACCATAGAGCTCAGCATTGGAATTCGGTGTGAACTTTCTTTATTTTATAGGAAAACAATTTATTAGGAAAACACTGAAAGGTGGAGAAATGATGCCTGTAGAAATCTGAACAAAATTAAACCAGAGACAGAGCTGGGCAAGTCCATGTAGGTTCTCTTCTGTCCCTGAGCCACCTGTCAGTAATCTCTGAAGACATTTCTGACCTTGGCTCTAACCCCTAATACTTGCTTATATACAAGGTGTATTCACTGACAGGGTGTTTGCCCTTTACAGCTCTTTTTGAGAGGTGGGGGATGGGGAGTACTGAGAATCATACTCCTCGCTTGCCAGGCAGGTACTGTGTCGCTGAGCTATATCTCTGACCCCTCCTTTTATCTTTTTGTGCTCAACATTATGACCACTCTTTTGGTTCCCTCCAGAAAACCTTAACTAAGAATGAAGATGCCCCAGGCAAGAGACTGTATTCCTGCCACTTAAAACTGTGGGGTTGTTTTCCTCAATTAGTGTAACCCTTCTGATCACAAAGCTGTTTTATCTTCTGATCACTGGTATTTGCCTCTTAAAAAAGAGGCTGGGGGATCAGGAGGTGGGAGCACAGCTGACTGGCTAAGTGCTGAGCTTTGTCAGCTATCTGGACTAGCCAGCCCTGACACTGCAGTCCTGATTCCACCTGAACAGTGTAGGAAACAGGCATGCCCATGCACAAGGTGCGTGAGCTGAGGACCACTTACAAAGAGCCCACAGCAATGCCCATCTCAGGGCTACCCATATACAGGAGCCTGATGCCCCAGAGTGTGTTGGCCTGCTGCAGAGTATCAGGCCCACTGCTGCCCAAAGGATGACCTGAGGACCTCCCCAGTTCTCCAGGCCAGACTGGAAGTACAGGTAGCCTGTATTGCAAATGCGCAGTTGCTCTGAATAAACCTTGTTATTCGCCAAAAGCATATCCAAACCCATCTTGATTCCGCATCTTAGCCTCTTCATGAGTTTTTCTCAAGGAAGCTCTTACAAAGCAGGAAGGGTATGTTTCCTCAAGCCAGTGTTCAGCCTAGTAAGGAAACCAAGTCCCCTCTCTCTGAGCCTTGTGATCCTTAGGTCATGTGACTTCCTGGCCAGCCTTTTTGTAGACAGAAGACTCAGCACCTTGACTGGGTTCAGGTAGTGATGCCCATGCCCACATTTCAACTTTGAGTCTGTAAGTCAGAGCTCTGTCAGGCTTCTTTCCGAAGCCCTTAACCCACTCTCCATACACTCCTCACCAGCCGAATTTGCCCCAGTCAAATAAGTACAACTTGATGAGTATTGATTGAATACTTGCTTCACATGTAAGCCTGTGGCAGGTGCTCTGGGAAGTTTGAGCAGAGGCAATTGGGGGCATACCTTGAGCACACATTAGGCTAATGTCCTCCCACTCATTCCTCACTGTGTGCTTTTGGCCTCCTTCTCTTTGGCCCCTCTTGTGCTTTCTTTGTGTCTCTCTGGGTCCCCACATGCAGCTGTTGATGTCAGCCTCCCAGAGATATGCTGTAAGAGTTGCTGGGCACCCAAGCCTCTATTTGTGTGCTTCCTTTGCAGGCATTACCAGGCTGGATGACCAGATATTCCTGAACAGGAACCCTGGTGTCCCCTCCGTGGTCAAATTCCACCCGTTCACTCCATGTGTGGCTGTGGCAGACAAGGACAGCATCTGGTAGGCACTGCCTGCTGCAGACCTCCTTCCTGGGGAGCCAGCCACTCCAGTGCTATAAATCCACATCTGTTTTCCCATCATTGCTGCTCTTCCTCACAAAGTAGACAGCTATCCCTTTTTGCCTCCCTCTCTGATGCCTGGCCCACTCTTGCCCCTTTCTGGCTGCAGGACAATTGAGAGTTTTGACCCTAAGTCACACAGAGGGCCAGGAGCTTCCAAACCACTTCTGTAATAGAGAAGCGGTCTCCCTGATTACCTCTTCTGAAAACATGGTATGCTACCAAAAATCTGATCAGAAGGTACCCGGTGCCCCAAAGAGAAACCCAAGTTTAATTTAGAAAAAGTCTCACTCTTGTGTGATAGAATACCTGCTCGTGGGGGAGGTGTATGAAGGGACTCCTTCTATAGCTTATAAAATGCCTGCATTTTTTCATGTCTACTTCTTAATCCTGCCTCCTTCCCTCTCTCCCTCTTCCTTTCCCTGTCCCTCTCCCTCTCCTCTGTCTCTGTCTCTGTCTGTCTGTGTGTGTGTGTGTCTATCTATCTATCTGTCTCTGTGTGTGTGTCTGTCTGTCTGTCTGTCTCTCTGTAATTGCGGTAAAATTTGCCTATTAACCATGTTTGAGTACACTGTCAAGCCATCAAACACATTTACAGTGTTAGGAGCACTCTTACCAGTGAGCTACATCTCCAGCAATTTTTAATTTTTTATTTTGAAATAGGGTCTTGCTAAGTTGCCCAGCTGGCTTCAAACTTGCAATTCTCCTGCCTCAGCCTTCTGAGTAGCTGGGATTACAGGTGTGTGCCACCATGCCCAACTCAGAACTTTTTCATCTTCCCAAACTAAAACTCTGTCCCCATTAAGCAATCACACTTCATTCTCGCTTCCCAGCACCTGACAACTCCCACTCTACTACTGAATTTGAGAACATGAGAGGGCTCAATGAGTGAAATTGTACAGTATTTGTCCTTTTGTGTATGGCTTTTTTCCCTTAGCCTAGTGTTGTCAGAGTTCATCCACGTTCTGGCATGTGTCAGAATTCCATTTCTTTTGAAAGCTGAATCATATTCTATCCTAAGATGGACCACATTTTGTTCATTCATCCACCTGTCCCTGGGCACTTGAGTTGCTGTCATGAATAGTGGCTATCTTGGCTACCATGAACAGTTCGGATGTGAACAGGTTATACAAATACCTATCTGTTCAAGTCTCTGCTTCCAGTTCTCTTGGGTGTACACCCATAGGTGGAATGACTAGACCTAGAAGGCTGTGTTTGCCCTCTTTGAGGACCCACAGTACTGTTTTCAACAGCGGGTACATCTTGCACATCATCCCCAGCAGAGCACGGGGCTGTGGTTACTTTAACCATACTTGTCATTCTCTGCTTGTTGATTGTAGCCATCCTACAGGTGTGAGGTGGGGTCTTACTATAGCTTGGGTTTGTATTTCCTTAATGACTCATCTTACTCCTCTTATTCCCTCAAGTTTTTGGGACTGGGAGAAAGGGGAAAAGCTGGATTACTTCCACAACGGAAACCCACGGTACACCAGGGTCACTGCCATGGAGTACCTGAATGGCCAGGACTGTTCCCTGCTGCTCACAGCCACAGGTGAGTGGGCCTGGCCAGCTGACCTCAAGCCAGGTTCAGGGTAGGGCAGGACAGATGTGAGGTTCTGAGGCTCATGAAACACATTCATTCAGTTTGTTGTCTTGCAAAGGGCACTGCTTATAATGAAGATCACTGCTGTTCAGAAGTTGGAGCTTATAAGGGACAGGATGTGGACACAGGCAGGAGCACAGAGGTGACTGGAACTGTATCTTCTCAGTTCTGTTCCCCAGCCTATCTTGGGAAAATGCCCTGTCAGCCTCTGTTCTCTTCATGGGGTGGAGGGGAGAAGAGGGAGAAGGTTGTGTCCTCTGTAGAGATGACCACAGGAAGAGAGGCAAATGACTAGGAGACCAGGGAACCAGTCCTGGCTGGTCTTCACTTTTAAGCAAGACTTAAAATGGGGCTTAGTAATAGCTTAAGGGAGGAGCTACCCAGCTGGCCAGTGTCATCTCTACAGCTTGCAGAGTTTCTAGAGGTCACAGGTCTCCTCTGCCTTTAGTGCTGGCTTTCTGATTGCCAGATGTGCATCTTAAGGCAGAGTGGTAGAAACATGATGCAGAGAACTGTGCCGCATTTTAGGGGTTGTGCCCCAAGGCATGGACCTGAGAATGACCTGAGGGCAGAATTCTGATCCCACATGCCACGCCAGGCTGGGCCAGCACAGGGCCTGGAGCCATGTCCCTCCCTCTCTCTTCTTCAGATGATGGTGCCATCAGAGTCTGGAAGAATTTTGCTGACTTGGAAAAGAACCCAGAGATGGTAACTGCCTGGCAGGGCCTCTCAGACATGCTGCCAACAACACGAGGTAGGTCTGTGGGCTCCTGAGGAGGAGGTCTAGAGTGAGTACTGAGATCCTGGATTCTCCTTAATTCAGGAGTACAGATGTGGTTCCAGTGCCTCTTGGCTGATTCCCCCAGTTACTTCAGAACCCTAAAAATCCTCACTCAGCAAACTGCCCTGACAGCCACAAGCATGTATAAACCTTTGTCTCAGTTACTCTTCTCTCATTGCAGGGACAAATACCTGACACTCAGAAATAAGAAAGGAAAGGTGTATTTAGCTCACAGTTTGTGGAGGTTTCAGTTCATACTCAGCTGGCTCTAGGGCATAGTGGCATATGGTAGGGAGCAATCTTTCATGGTGGTGGCAAAGAGCAAAAGTGAGCAAAGGGAGGAGTGACAGCAAGGATGGCCGCAAGAGAGTAAGTCTGTCCCTTAAGTTGCAGTCGGGCTGTCAGCCTCAGGGTGTAGTACTCACACCCATGATCCCAGTAGATCGTGAGTTAATCACAAATGCTAGAAGTCCACCCCATGACTGCATGAGGATCTGGGGGGACAGTAGACACAAACCATAACAACCTCAGATCCAAGTGCCTGCCAAGTCTTAGGCATGGCCCTGAGTTGGGGCCAGCATCCTTGAGTAGGGCTGTCCTCAGGTGTGCCTTGGAAAGGTACTGTCACTGGCTAGGCCTGTATGGCCAATGTCATGTGCTCCTTGTACCTAACTGCATGCCCTGGGGAGTGCTAACCTGGACTAGGCAAAGGAGCCCAGTGAGTGAGTGGTTTTCATGTCACCTGCACCATCCCACAGCTTGAGAGGAAGGCCTCTGCAAGAATCTAGAGGGCCACCAGGTCAGGCCGTTAGGTTCTGTGTTCCCAGAGCCTCCCAGGCCCAGTGTTTGCACTATGGGGCTGCCATTCTGCAGCATGACACCCGTGCTCTGCTGACACTAGGTGAAGAGTAATGGTGGCCTCCTGGGTGTCTCTCTCTGCACCAGTGAGTTTGGTCTTGGTCTGTATCCTGCTGTACGTGGCCCTCCTCCTAGTCAGCTGTCCCTGTGAGGCCTGCCTTAAATCTCATGGTTCCGTGACTGCCCTTCCATTCCAGAGAAAGTCTGACCCTGAGCTAGTTCCTTCTAGCTTGGGTAGTCCAGGGCAGACATTTCCTTGTATTTTGTTTTTTGGTGTTTTTGTTTTTGTTTTTGTTTTAATTTTTCAATTTTGTTCAAGGGGAACCTCATCAATTCCTTCCCCCAGCACAGCCACATCCACCTCACCTGTACTCCTGTGAGCAGCCATGTTTTCAGCACAGCACCTGCCATCTGTGTCTTGCCATTCCTCATATGGTCTGCCCTACTGTCCCACAGGCCTCTTACTGCCCCTTCCAGTCCTGTTTGGTGGCAACTCTGTAGCTGACAGGTGCCTGAAGCAGCCCTATCTCCATGGTATTAGCAGGTTCTCTGCATAAGGGCTGCTTTGTAGGACATCTTACAGATGACTTGACTTGCCTGCTTAGGTCTAGTTCTTCAGGACACTGGCCACAGGGTCTTTGGTGTTGTCAGAAGCGGAGTTGAGCTTGGGAAGGGCAAGGTCACAATGGCTCCTCCTGTACCTGCTGGGCACACCTATACACGACACTGTCAGTGGGTGGCTCTGAGACATAGAGAAGAGTCTTGTTCATGATCTTGCCCTTGCTTTTCTCAAAGAAAAGGATAATAAGGATGGAGCAGAGGGCCAAGGGCAGTAGGTGCCTGATGCACGGCCTGGCTAAGGAGGAGCCAGCCTGAGGGAATGGGGCTGGAAGCACAGAGCAGCCACATAGACCTCCTCCTCAGAAGCCCACAAATGCTCTGACGTGTACAGATCTCATTGTGGCCAAGGAGGTTCTGAGTCACCTCACGCTGACCTAGGAATGAGAAGCTTTCAAAAAATATCCTGTCTTTTTCAGAATAGCATCTGTTGCCATGGAAACATGACATATAAGTTTGGTATCTCAAATGCCCCCAGATACAGTGTCAGAGTCAGGCTAGCAAAACCCTGAGAACTAAAACTGACTCTCTCTCTTGTCATGCTATTGAGACAAGTCATGAAAGAATGGAGCATGGTACAGATACATTTCTGGAGCTGATTTGCAGCATCTGCATTTTACAGAGTGGCCACTTTCAGAGGGTACCCTCTTATCCTAGCCTCTCTTTCAGGGGCCCCTCAGTATTATAGATTCACAGCTGCCTTAACACAAGTGATGTCAAATTTATAAGGATGGAGGCGGGTCATGTTCTGTGGACTTTCTAGACTCATGTTTTAGTACTTTGTGAAGAATTGTTATATAGAGCTGGCCAGATAGCTCAGCAGACTAAAGCACCTGCTTAGGCAGGTACAGGGGCGGGGTTCAATCCCTGGTGTGCTATGTGGGCCCTGCCCCCAGGGCACACTGAAACTGGCTGAGGCTGGGTGTGGTAGCGTGCACCTATAATCCCAGCACTTGGGAGGATCACTATGAGTCTGATCTGTGTAGTGAGACCCAGTAAACCCTATACTAAATACATTTTAAAAAATTTAAAGAAAAGAATTGTTATATGAAAACTTCAAAAGGAAAGAAAGATGGTTAAGAAAACTCATTATTTACTCTGTTTCCATCTCTGTAAGTTTTTAAGGAGGATCTTACAACCCAAGCAAAAACCAACAGGGGGTGTGGTGGGAAAGATGTGACAAAACTGCTTCCTCTGAAATCCTAAAGAAAGGCCAGAGGACCTCTGCTTATAGGGCCTGGGAATGGGCAGAAGCCAAAAGCCTCGCTGTATCCTTCCAGTGGTTGATCACACCCTTAGCTATCCCGAGCTGGTGCCTTGGATAGCAGTAGACACTCTAGGCCAGGCTTTTGGGCCACAAGCAGAACAAAACCATCCTTCAAATGCCACTATGAGAGCCAGGCATATTTCCATTCCCAGGTTAGAGCTGGAGGCAGCTAGGAGGACACAGAAGCAGGAGTATCCCACCAAAGTGTCCCCAGAGAGCAATGAAAAGGGCCCAGCTTCATAATATGCATCTGGGGCTTTGGTCAGTTATTAATAGTTATTAATTGGACAGCCAAGAAGTAAGCAGAGGAAGAACCCCAACACATGGACGCCGTGGCCTGGCAAAGAGAGCCCGTGAGTCCAGGGCCACAACTCCTGAGAGCCGCAGATAAGGGACTGCAGGCCTCGAAGGTCATTCTGGACTGGCTTCTGGTCCTGGGGCTGCTCACTAGTCTGATGGAGACAGATAGTAACTAGGCTCTGAAACCTCAAGCTCAAAGGGAAGAAAAGAGGTTATTACACTGTCCACTGCTAGACAGCCTCTCCTTTCTTGTCCTGAGGTTGACACAATATAGCAGTCAGAAAGGTTCAGGTATGCCAACTGGACCTCAGCACCAGGCAGAGTCTGGGCCAGGGAGGGGCGCTGCCTTCCTGACTGTGATACTGATCTGAGGCCCCCTTCTAGGGCAGCAAACCCTTAGGGATGGTGGGCTTTGCAAAGGTCAGATACAGTTAAAGAAGTGCTCTTAAAGTTCCCAGAGTGTGCCCTCATTCTTCATTTTCAACCAAAACCTGCTGAAGAGGCCACTCTGACAGGGCAGCATGGCAAGAACAGTCTTCAGAGCACAGCCTGGCAGAAGGGCTCTGCAGGTAGTTGTATTCACATAAAAATCCTGGTGCTTGCTGTTCTGGCCTGGGACTGAGACTGGGACTCCAGTGATGTGTCCCTCTGCTGGGGTCTGATGACGCTTCCCTGGGATAGACATGAACCTCTGCCTAGAGTCCTGGCCCCCCAGCCAGCCCACATTCTCTCCCAAGAAAAATGTTAGGAACTAAATGTGTCCCTCAGATTCATGTGTTGAAGCCCCATGGGGTGTTTGTAAGGTGACAGTGTGACTGAGAAGTAAGAACCACACAGTGTATCATATTTCATTATGGCAGCCTGAGCTAAGAGCAGGGAGAACCCCAGAACTCCCACATGACTTGGTGAGCAGGGTGCCAGCAGACCTGTCTCACAATGCCGCAGTCTGGTCCTTGGGGGTCTTAGCATTGATTGCTGTCATCATCCATAGGTTAGCCCTGGTCCTGGAGAGGCCTTAGCATTGCTGAGAAATCTAGATCAACTATGCTCCTTATCTGATGAGGCTGTTGGCCTGCATAGAGCCAGCAGTCCCTCAAGAATAGCCCCACAGATGCTCACTGAGGCTGACCCATAGCCACACTCCAAAGGGTCTTCCACCATTGTGGTGGTATACCTCCTGCAGCACCTTTCCCTGGTGAGGACCTGGGGAAGAAAGGGCCAGTGTGTACTTGTGAATTATCCATGGCCCCCTCGGCAGTTTCTGCTTGGTGAGCTGTACTCCCTGTGTGGAAACATCCAACTCCTTTCCTGACCCAACATCTGTCCTTTCCACCACCAGGCTTCAGTGCCATGTGTTTCACTGTCTGGCAGCAAATGTATCCCCAGGACTTAGGGTCTTATTGTTGTGAAGGCATATCTTTCCTCTGCTGTAAAGGGCAGGCACATAGAAGTACCATACTAGAGGACTGTTCTTTGTGTTCTGCCACACTGTTATGCTTTGTGTCTAGATGTCGCCCCAAAGCATCATGCAGTCATGGTGTGGGCTTCTAGAGTTTTTGATTGATTCATGGTCCAATGGTAGTATTATGTGTGTGAGTGCTACACCCAGGGGAAGGGGTAGCCTACATACAATATAAGGGAGGAAAATAGTTGTTCCTGCTCCTCCTTTTTTGCTCTTGCTGCTTTTGTTTTCTTCCAAGGCCATTAACTGTTGCCCCTGTGCCATGCAACTGTTGCCCCTGTGCCTGCCTTGGAGCCAATTGATTATGGACTGTAATCTCCACAAACTGTGAGCTAAAGAAACCTTTCTTTTGGGCCGGGGAGATGGCTCAGTAGAAAAAGCGCTTTCTTGGCAAGCACAAGGGTCTGAGTTCAATCCCCGGTTCAGCCAAAAAAGAAAAAAATAAAAGAAAGGAATCTCTTTTTCCTTAATTATGAGTGTTGGGTATTTTGTCCCAGCAATGAGAGAAAAGAAAGACACCAACTAAGTCTCAAGGAGAAAATTTGCTATACATTTGCTTCTGGGCTTTAGGCCCTGGGGCCTTGCATAAAGTACCATCCAGCTCCCCTTTCTTCCCCATCACAGGTAGTCAACATCATGTCCACATGCTTCCGCATTGAAAGGATTTTCCAGAAGCAAGAACCACATCTTATCTTAGACTCAGGCCCCCAGCAATGCTAAGGTTTCTTGAAAAGCAATATAGAGACTCTTGGAAAAGCAATGCTAAGGTTCTTGGACTCTGAGTTTTCTTAACATTTTCTTTCTGCAGAGGTTACCTCTGGATTTTAAAGGATATCTTGAACGAAAAAAAGAAAATCTCCTATAAGACAATGGTAGACAGAGTGCGGAGCCCAACCTGAGGAGGCAGTGGGGTCTTAGGAAGAAACAGTGGGACCATCCCAGAGCCCCAGTAGCCAGACAGGAAGAAGGGAGTGAGTCCTGGAGAGAGGTAGAGCAGAGTCCTGAGTGAGAATCAGTCTTTAATTGATTCACATGGAAAATGACTTGTCTGTTCTTGGGATTCCTTGCTCCTCTCAGCAGATACCAGTCCCAAGAAACCACAGGACATTCTCTCTCCCTCCCTACCTCTCTCTCTCCCTCCCTCTCCCTCACTCTCTCCTTTTTCTCTCTCCCTCCTCTCTCTCTCTCTCCCCCCCTCTCTTTCTCTCTCTCCCTGTCTCTCTGTCTCTCTCTCTCCCCCTTCCTTTCTCCCCCCTCCCCCCTCCCCCTTTCCTCCTCTCACCATTCCAGAGACTGCTCAGTTTCCCCACTGGTCAAGTCCTGGACATCTACCTGCCGATGTCCTTACTGGTGGCTACATAGGCCAAGAACCCAAAGCCCGGTGCTTCATGGACAAATCTCTCTTCCTTTTCTTTTCTTTTTGTTTTTTTGTTGTTTTTCATTATCAAGGTGGTTACACCTAGGGAGAAACTGGACATGTGTAGCACACATGGCCTGTAGTTCCCTTCCAGGGACTTCTTCATGCTGCACACAGGGCACATAAGGACACTGCTAGTTGTGCTGTGGTTTCCAGATTTGTCACATAGCTGAAAGATTGTGCACTGGAATGCAGTATGATTTAAATGAATTAAGTGGGTCTGATTGTATTGAGTTGAATAAATCCTTGAACTCTAAAGGAAAAAAACAAGCTGCTAGAAAATGACTCCGTTTTGCAGCTGGTGAATGTTTTGAAGTGTGGGAGACATGTGTTACAGTTTGTGGACCCATAGACCAAGTTCAGGCTGTCACATAGCTGTGACTACAGGTGTGTACCACTGTGCCCTGCCAGGCAGGCCTTATTTCATCCTACTGTCCACTAATGTCCCCAACCCTGTAGTCAGTCCCCTCTCCATCGTGCTGGGAGGTGCATCAGCCACATGACCTGTGCAGAGTTCCTTCTTTTCTTAACTTGGGGTCCTGGAGCTTTGATGTGGGTAGGAAAACTCATCTTCTTGCCATTATGGCCATTCTGAGGTCACCAAACCTGCCAGTTGTGGCCCAGCATTCCAAAGGATCTTACTATTCTTCTGGCAAATGCTTTGGGTGTAGCTAGATTCTGAGGAGGCTTAGAATGCCAGCCTTGAAACGGCACTGACCTGGACTCAAGGAATGTTGGGAGCCCCAGCCCAAGCTTACATGGGGCACATGGACCCACCTGATGCGTTAAGGCCTGGCTGATGCTCTTTGGAGCCACTGGGTGAAAGACTGCCCAGAACATCCCCAGCCTGCCTGGTACCTACACACTAACCATTTCATGCTGTGTCTTCCAGGAGCCGGGATGGTGGTAGACTGGGAACAAGAAACTGGCCTGCTTATGAGTTCAGGGGATGTGCGGATCGTCCGGATCTGGGACACAGACCGTGAGACAAAGGTGCAGGTAACCATGGTGGGCCTGACAAGTGCCTGGTCACTGTGCAGGTCCCCTCACCCCATCCCACCAGTCTCTTGCCTCTCCCCTCACTGTAGATAGCCATTACCCGTGGTCTCTGGGGCAAGGCAGTCAGTGATTGCCTTTTGCTGTGCTGGGAAGGCACGTGGAGAAGGATATGCCTTGTTGGGAGAGAACCCAGCTCCTCAGCCTTGGAAACTAATTACTTCTGGATGTACATTAATCATGACACTTTGACCCCGCATTGCAGTATAATTAAGACTATGCTAATCCTAATTATTTTCAAATATTGCTTTATCTGTGCAAATTAGGAATATCAGAAATCAGTAGAGTGAAATAATATTTTAAATTAGAATGATTAATGATTTCACTGTGAGCTTCTTAAAGCAACTTTTTTTTTTTTTTGTGCTGGGGATTGAACTCAGGACTTCAGGCTTGCTAAGCATACATTCTACCACTGAGCTACACCCCTGCCCCTAAATCACCTTTTATCTTCAGTTTTGATAAAGAGGGAAGAGTGCACTGGTTTTGCCCAAAACCCCTGGGAAGGCAGACAACCAGGCAACTAGCCCACTAGAATCCAGCTCGACCCACCTCCTTTGGAGCACAGGAGGACCACAGACACTGTAGGGGCAGTGCCTGGGGGAGTTTAGTTCAAGAGCATCCTTCCTTCTGATCCCCAAATAGGCACAGATCAACCCATCCTCTCCATCCTGCCCACATGGAGGCGGAGGCCGTGTGCAGCAGGAAAGCAGCTCTGCAGAGCTGCTGATCTGAGCAGGGAATGACATGTATGGAGCTGGGGGACAGAGGCCTGTTTACCTGAGGCTGTCAGAATTTACTATGGCTCCTCTGGGCAGTGCTGCAGCCAGTGTCACTCCAACCCCTGGCTGCCATGGGCACTCCCATCTGTCCTGTCTGGAAACAAATCTTGATGAAGTTTCCCACTTTCTGACAGTAAAGGTGAAAATACAGATGCCCAGAGATTGTTTCCCAAGATAGCATGCAGACCTCAGCAGTGGCTCCCAAAAAGTGGCCTCCCTGACTGACCTACAGACTGTGTCCCACACCCTCTGAAACGCTGCTCTTTCAGAGTTGCCATCACTCCTTGCATCAGAGCTCAAGGGACTTGTTCAGAGCCTCCTCCTCTCACCTGGGCAGGACTATTTTCCATATTTGTGGATTTCCTCTCAGGTTTCCCTGATATAATTGGAGAAGCACTTTTTCCCCTCCTGAGGCTCATTTTTTGTCTCCCACCCCCTCCTGCCAGACGTTCATCACCGCTCCTGCCCTTCTGCAGCATTTATGGGCACCAAGGGGAACAGAGGAGCTGCTGCTCAGCTCTTCCCCCAACTAATTAGGAGACTTGAGAGGGAGCTGACGAAGGTTCTTCCTTGCCGAGATATGCTTCGTCGTTCTTTTCAGGAAGGAGGGACTCATTGCTAGAAAGTTTAATTGGCACCAAATCTGGGTGTCCCCAGAGGTGCCTTTAGGCTGCCACTGCTCTTGGGCTCTGCCTGTCCCAGTGGTGGGCAACAGTGCAGCAGACAGGGGTGGATTGAGTCATTGGGAGCCCCTTGCAGTGGAGACAAAGGCAGGAGCAAGATGGATGTATCCAAGCAGATGCTACAAGGCAGCTGGATACCTCGTCTCCATTGCCCTCTTTTTTGGCCTAGGACATCCCCACTGGTGCTGACAGCTGCGTGACAAGTTTGTCCTGTGATTCCCACCGCTCACTCATTGTGGCTGGCCTCGGTGATGGCTCTATCCGTGTCTATGATAGGAGGATGGCGCTTAGTGAATGGTAAGGTACCTACCTCCCTCCTCCAGTGCTGTGTGGGGTCCTTCCACATGAGGCAGCCCCCTCACTGCTGGTGTTTTGTCCACATTGCTCAATGAGATATGATGCTTCCCCAGGAACCTGCAGTAGAACATAAGTCCAACTGGGAGGCTCCAGCTGGGCATGTCCTGTACAAGCAGTACCCATGGCTCAAAGAGGAGGACAGGACATGGACAGGGGGGCTGGTGGCTTATGCTTATAGCCTGGAATGACACTAGCAAGGCAGGGTCCTCGAAGGACACCTGCCATCTCAGCTCCAGGGCCTCAGCTGAATACCACCCACACCTTGTCCTAGGTATGTGTGTCCAGAGTGGCTAAGAGCACAAGCAGGCACAGCGTGGTACTGAGTCATGTGGCTGCTGTGGTGGGCACTGCTCAAGCAGCGCTACAGGGTCAATGCCTTTGCCTAGAACATCTCCACTGGTGCTGACAGCTGTATGACAAGTCTGTCCTATGATTCCTATTGCTTGTTCATGATAGCTGGGCAAAGAGCTGATGACCTGGCACAGACCCTGGTCAGGGAAGCAGCCATATGGCAGAAGCCACTGGGAACTGAGGAGCCTCAGGGGAAAGAACTGAGCTGGGATATCACCTTAGGCAGGGGTAGGCCTAGGGGGGAATCAAGGCCTGGTAGGCCAGAGCAGCTATAGGTCCATGAGCTCTCTACTACATAGCTGCCTTGGTCATGTGGCCCCTTCTATGGGAGTGTCCCTTGCTGGATGGTAGGAACACTGTCATCTAAAAGCAGCTATTGTGGGTACACCTTATGGGGTGAAAGGGTACATTTTACACCATGTCTGTTGTCTCTCAACCTCCCTCCTCTCTCTAGAAAAAGCCACTTAAGCAGTAAGTAAATTTGGATGTTTACTCCACAAAGGCTGGAAAGTCCCAGAGGCCCTGAAGGCCAGGCAGATGGCCCTGGGCCCTTGCTCACTGGGAAGGACCCTTCTCTCACCAAGGCCTCGTAGCCAGGACCAAAGAGACAATGCCTGCCTTCACTGTACTGCCACAAGGGTACATCTTTGATCACTGATGGGGCTGGGGGCATCCAGTTGTGCCATAGACCTCGTACAGGGGCTTCCTAAACTGACCAGCAGTGACTCGCTGAGCTACTCTGGGGCTAATGGTGGCCTCCTCATGTAGGCCTGACAGTAGCTCAGGGCTCAGCCAAGCACCAGGCCAGAGGAGGCACAATAGTGCCTACTGAGGCAGGCCTCAGATAAGCCACATGTCCAGGGTAGCAACTGGCCACATGTACGAAATGGACAGTGCAAGGCCTGAAGACCCCATAGCACAGGTAGCCTGGGTATTCTCAACAAACCCTGTTTTCCCTGCTTCAGTGTAAGGCCATGTGTGTGGCCTCTGTAACTCCCAGAGAAAGTTACCCAACCAGCTGCCCAGTCCTGCCCTGATGGTGCCTTCCTCCCCTGCAGCCGCATCATGACCTACCGGGAGCACACAGCATGGGTGGTGAAGGCCTACCTACAGAAGCACCCTGAGGGCCACATCGTGAGTGTGAGGTAACCACAGTGTGTGCAACGGTTGACTATAAAAATGTTATTTTTTTTTTCATTTTTCATTGGTATTTAAACAGCTGGCAAGTGCTGGCATTTGGGGGGCAATAATTGACTCCTACTTGGGGACTGGCCAGAAAGGTCAGGGTGTGGAGCTGGGTGCAGCACAGATGCCTGCTGTTTGCAAGCAGAAGAAGCCACAGGCAGACATGTCCTCCACAGGTGGGAGTGGGGGACACAGGGCCTCGGGTGGTTACAGGCATGGTGCCAAGCAGGATTGTCGCGTTGTCAAGTTGAGCCATTTTCTGCACATAAATTCAGTTCTGCTGTACGGTAAATACTGTGCTGTGAACAGAGAATATTTATTTGCCTCTTAACAGGACAGCAAAATGTAATTTATGGTCACAAAGCCACCATCTCTTCAAAGAGATGCTCTTTTCTCCTTTGTTTGTGACATAAAAACAAAGCATAATTCTTGGGATGGACGATTATGGGAGGTGGAAGGCAAGGGACTGTCAGATTATCTCCCTCACTGGAAACAGTGCCTCCTGCCTCACCGGCCTCTCTCCAGACCTGGCTGGGGTATTCAACCCCAGATCCCACACATCACGTTTTTCTGGCCCTGGGGGGCCTGGCTGCCAAGATCAGAAAGAAGGGTCTATGAGCAGCATTGGGGTCAGTGGGCTCTGCCTCAAGTAGTGTGTATACAAAGGAGCATCAGACTCCACAGGTCCAGTGCCACTGTTCCCCAGTCAGGTCCCCCAGGGGCTGTAGGGTGTCCCCAGGGCCCTGCTCATAGGTGTCATTGTGGCCCTGTCCTGCAGCGTCAATGGAGATGTTCGCTTCTTCGATCCCCGGATGCCTGAGTCTGTGAATGTGCTACAGATCGTAAAGGGGCTGACGGCCCTGGATATACACCCCCAGGCAAACTTGATTGCATGGTAGGTGCTCCATCTCCCTATGAGTAGAGATTACCAGGCCACTGTGGTGGGGCTTACTACCCTCATGCCATCTGAAGGAGAATGGGTTAGAGGATTGAACTATACTATAATGAAATAAAAAAAAAAAATCTCTTCCCTGCTCCATCCCCCTCCCAGAGCAAACTCTCAGAGCCCTGTGAGTCATTTCTGGGGCAGAGCCCCTAGTCCTCATGTGAAGGCAACAAGAGATGAGTTGCCATTCTATGAGTCAGGTGTTCCACCTGCCCCACCAGCCCTGCCCCTGTCCTTGTCCCTGTCCCTTCAGTCTTCCATCTCTGGGCCTGTTGTCTCACCCTAAAAGGAAATAGAAGCTGATGTCCTGAATTTCTCTACTCCCTCCCTGCAGTGGCTCCATGAACCAGTTCACTGCCATCTACAACGGAAATGGCGAGCTGATCAACAACATCAAGTACTATGACGGGTTCATGGGCCAGCGTGTCGGAGCCATCAGCTGCTTGGCCTTCCACCCACACTGGGTCTGTGCCACATGCCAGGGTCAGGTGGAGGTGGGATGTGGGCAAGTGAAGTACTAGCAGCAGTCAGGGGCCACCTGAGTAACTCCTGTATCCTGAACCCTTCCCTCCCTGTCTCAGGAAAGAGGAAACAGCACAGGAGTGTCCTTGGGTCCCTGATGCCCCATCTTCTCATGAGGGAGCCACAGATTAATGCACAAGGGCACCAGGCCTTAATCTGAGTCCATTTGTGGATTGTGTGCTGTGTGTGTTTAAATTAGGATGCTGCCTGCCTGCCTTCCCTCTATGCAAGTCTGCATGCAGCTCTCAGCTGAAACACACATATGATTCCCAGATTGGGGGGGGGGGGTCATGAAGAGCAGCTGTGGGGAACTGGGTAGTATGCAAATCGCCTGCCATGAAGTGGGGTGATGTGTCATCCAGGTGCATAGCTTCCAAGCCCATCTTCAGTTCAGGGGGAGAGGGCTGCTTATGACACCTGGGCTGGGGCTGGGGCTGGGGCTGCGGCTGCACACCCTCATCAGCCTTGCCCAGCAGCCTTTCTCATTCCTTATCCCTCTTTTGTCTCGCAGCCTCATCTGGCCGTGGGAAGCAATGACTACTACATCTCTGTGTACTCGGTGGAGAAGCGAGTCAGATAGCAGCACCAGGGCTCCCGCCAGGCCGAGGCCACTGTGTACATAATGAATCCACTCACTCCAGGTGTAGCGCCCCACCACCAACACTGGCCCTGACTCAGCTGCTGCCAATTGAGGAAGGACCTTGTGCTTTCTTTCTGTCTTCCCTGTAATATCCAGAAAGTCCAGGGCAGGGATGGCCTTGGCTTGACGTTGCTTCTTGCCTTGAACCAGCACCCAGGCACTTGGGATTCATAGCGTGTCACAGCACATCATGGTCTCTTCCAGGCCTGTTTTTCTTCTGAGGTTTTCCAAGGGAGAAATATTTGTTTTATTTTCCATGTGACCAGAGCATTAGCTACAAAAAAGATGGACCGTTGGTGGAAAAGCCTTCTTAGGGCCTACAGTAACCACACCACTCTAGCCAACCTGGCCCACAGTCCTCTCAAAGTGTAAGCCCAGAACTACTCAGAGCAGGCTGGATGCTGCTGGAGATTCACAAGGAGGGAAAGACAGAGGGGCCACAGCCAGCAAGTGGAAGGAAGCAGTCCACTTGGACCTCTGGGGCTGCTCAGCCCAGCAGCCTCCCTGTCACTGGCTATGTCTCGGGAATGAGGAAAAGCCCCAGAAGAGCCAGACCTCTGGCTCAGCTCCCAGACTGGACCGCTCCATGCAGAGCCACTCGCAGGACAGGACTCTGTGTGGCTGGACAGGTGAGGTGGTTCCTGGCAGCTGTGGCTCTGCCCCAGTTCACCAGGGCACAGTAGTGCTGCTGCTCCCAAGAGCAGTTATCACATCCCAGGACCTTCCCTCTACCTGTGCCTGCACACAGCACACTCATCACCCACACAGATGCAGAGGCACTGTGGGACCCCAGGTCTGCGGATAGAGTGACAGCCCCCACATTCGTATGACCAAGGCTTTCCTCCTGCAGACTGCGATGCAGAAGTTCCTTGGTGGCTCCTTGCATGTCTGGCACATGTGTGCATGTGTAAGCACATATGCAAGCTGGGGAAAGCTGTACAGACAATTTAGTCCTGAGGAGGAGCACAGAGAATTGCTGAGCAATTACATACAACACAACTCTAATGATGGTGTTTCCAAAAGGATTTTTTTATTTTCCTTGGGAATCAGGATCTTCCAGAGATGGAGGTGTGATATGGCTCGATTGATTCTGCCAGAAACAGTGGGTGCATGAGTCAGAGCTAGGACAGAAAGGCCAGGTCCCTCGTGCTGTGATGTGGTTCACCTTTAGCCAAAAGCACCTTATGGGTACATGGAGCCCTACAGGGAGCACTGGGCCAACCTGGAGCCAGACAAGACCCAACAAGGCAGGACGGAGAAGGAGGCCTGCTGATGCCCACCCCCCAAACACTCACTCTCCCCAGGAGAAGGCTCCAGATGAAGTTGCTTCCCCTCTGAGGGGTGAACAAGCAGCCTGGAGTCAGCAAAGACCTAGCAGGTTCGGACCGATTCCCACAAGCCCAACCCCAGCTCTGCAAGTGCTCCAGGGGGTGAAACACTGGAAACTTCTGGGGGGAGCTCCACCCACAGGCCCAGCAGGTGGCCCTCCGTGACTGACTCAGAGTGGTCAGCTCCACTCCAACCTAACTTGCATTTCTGTTTGAGACAAAAACCACCACTGGCAAATGCAGGTGGCTCTGGAGGTGAAAAGACCCTCCCTCCCTGCCCCCCAGAGCCCCTGGCATGGTGTATATGTCCAGAAGATGCCGCGTGGGCGGGGTATTCACAGGCTGGATGCGAAAATTCAATCATGAAGTTAACCAAGCCTCAAAAGAGCAGTGACCTAGAGTTCCTTTATCTCTATTTATTTTACCAAAATGAGAATTGAAAAAGACTTTGACAAAATGTGGAATTGTAAAATGTGAAACTATGAGCAATGACAAACAATAAATAGTTAAAAAATAAAAACAGTGCAGGAATGTCTGGCTATGTTGTGTTTTCCCTTAGGGCAGCAGCATGCCCTCCCCTGTTGGTGACGTTACTGCTTGCCGAGGGTGGCAGATAAAGCAGGCCCGGATGGGAGGCCAGGGGCATTGCCCAGGTCTTCAACAAATGTTCCTGGCTACCTTGTGCTGTCATCAAGGCAGGGCCTCTTTACAGATGGACCCCTCCAGACAGGCACATTTGGCCTAGCATGTCCATGGACGACACAAAGCTATCCTGGTGACTGCGCCTCCATGTCTTCCCAGTGCATCTCAAGCCCTGTGGCTATCTAAAAAAAAGACCCAAATTCAGGAGCAAACATACTGGGAAATAGCCAGCCTACATGGTTTCTGTTATTTTCTCCTTTTACTTCATACCCAGTTGTGATTTTTATGGTGGCTTACTTGGTCAGGTCAGGGTGCCACCTGGCTACCTTGCTCTAAGGGAAGGTTTGCTTCTGGGCCACTCCACTTTCTAGTGCCCCTGTCCCTTGGTTCCTGGTCTCCTCCCCACCTTCAGAACCAGCAACCACTGGTAGTTTCTCTCACAGCCTTTGTTCTGAATTCGGACCCTCCTGCCTTCCCTTCCACTTTGAAGGACCCTGCTTGATCCAGGCCATCTGGGTAGTCCTGAGTAATCTTCCTGTGCTGTAGGCAGCTGATCAGCGCCACAACCCACTTTGCCAGGTAGCAAAACATGGTTATATTCCAGAGGTGGGCTGTGGGTGTCTTGGGGGTCATAATTCTACATACCATCTTTGTCTACCCCAAAGATCTTCTAGGCAGAGCCCACAAAGACCCCAGATCCTCAGCCCAGGTTGCCAGGGCTGGGGAGGGCTGGGCTCTGATATGCAGTATAGCCATGGCTTAGTCTTCCAGAGTCAGATGGGTTGGTGCTGGCCATTGTGTGCCACAGATCTCTTTGGCCCTAGCAGCAGCCTGCAGCCTCAGTCAACAAAACCAGGCCCGTGGTGTGGTGGGTAAGGACAGACTGTAAATAAACAAATTTCCTGAGACACTTACACAGCTCTGAGCCCTGGCCAGGAAGGCGGTGAGGCAGTAGTTGCCATGGTAACCTGGAGGTACTGGGCTGGGATGCCTCTCATCACGCAGGCAGTGCCACAGCTCTGCCTGAAGAGCAATGATTTTTCCTGTTAGCATCTGGTTTCCTGTCAGCAGGACCTGAGTACAAATTGAGTTTTCATAAGAATAGAGTGGGCCTGTAGCCGGGCCAGTGGGGAGGCAAAGGCTACACTGGTGCTGCAAGGCAATGTGGCCACAGTGAATGGCCAGGAAGAGCTGAGCTGGAGGCACACGTCCCTGAGGGAGAGCCAGCCTCCCTGGGGGGAGGGGAGTGGGGAGAGGCCCTCAGGCACCTACATGGCATTTTTGCTCCCTCCCACTCATCACTTTGTCTTTATCCCCTTCCTGGGGTTTCAGCAGACACCCCTGGAAGGTGTCAGAAGGACTGGCCTCTCCAGGCACTCTGGTTCAGTCACTGGCTTGATCAGGGACCCACAAGCTCCCAGAAGTAGGTCAGTGCCTCCATGACAGGCAGGTAAAGCCACAGAAGACAGACAGATGAAAGAAAGGAGGGATGGGGCAGTTAGGACTAGCAACTAAGTGGTGACACCAGTACCTCAGAAAGGGACTGTATTTGAAGACATAGCCCTTGAAGAGGTTAGTCAGGCCCCAATTCAATCCAAATGGTGTTGAAATGAGAAAAGGAGACAGAGACACAGATAGGGTCTATAAGCCCAGGAGAGATCAGCCCAGCCACCTCACTTGTGAGGGGACGAACTCCTGTCCTTTAAGCCACCAGTCAATGGTGACTAAATAGCAGCCTGGGACACTGTCCACAGGCACCTTGGAGCCACACCCTGACTCAAGATACACCTTAGCCTAACAGCAGGCCAGCATCTCATCTTCAGGTGGGAACAGTGACTACAAAGTTTAACTGCTGTGAGCCTTAAACTGAGACCACCAAAGCTGCTGGAACAGCACAAGTGCCAGAGAAGTGTCAGGTAGAGGCTGTGTAGTCACCAAAGATCTTCACAGCAGAGAGGGGCTTCTGATAGAGCACAGCCCACAGGGTCCTGTTGTCAGAGGGCACCAGCCCAGACCCCAGGTCTATGGCACCTTAGCTGAAAGGATAAGCCCTCAGCTCTCCACCACTGACCTGGAACAGACATGCCTCCATGTGGCCCACTGGACAACAGCAGCCCTGGGCTCTGCCACCTCCCACACTTACCTGCCCAGGTGCCACCCTGCACCCCACCTCCATCCCCACCCCACTAGCCAAATCAGAGCCTCCATCCTGCTCAGGCTGTGACTCTTGTTTGAGGACTGAGGCTCAGCTCCTCTTGCCCCAGCCCCTCCTGGACCTGTGGTCCCCAGGCCAACAGCTGTGCACAGGAGTGGCTCCAGGCTTCCATCTGCTGCCATGTGACTTGGGCATATGGATTGCTCTGACATAAGCCCAAGACACTGCCACCCAACATGAGGATAAGGAAGCGCCTAAGACTGCCACATATACCCTGGGGTACTGCAACAATTAAGAGCCGCAAGATGGGCATTTTCAAGCTATGGTTCTGAGAGGGGTCTCATGCTTCTGGGCTTGGGGACATGGTCGTGGTAGTCACCCGCATCCTCAAAGTGACACCAGGACACTCACTAATGCTCTGCAGCTGGAGCCCATGTCCCAGGGTCAGCCTAGCCACCTCTGCCTGCCACCTCAACACTCCAGAGACCAAGGATGCCTACTGAAAGGTTGTCTTATGTTAATTTTTGTTCCAAAAGACACAACAGGGCTATTTTCAAGGAAAGTTTCTTTTTTATGTACCAAAAATCTGTATTTCTTCAAATACAGTCACGTCATCTTCAGGAACATCATCGTAACCATTCAAACCCGAATTGTGGCCTCAATTTCTTGCAACTCCATTTCCCACCGAACCACTGGCCCAGGCGCTTATGTGCAGCACCACAGCTGCCTCCTTGTCCATGTAGCCTGCTCGTAGCGCACTGGCCACGCGGCTGTCAGTGATTTTATCCCGCGAATTCTTCACCCCAGTCCTGACCTCCTACAGACTGGCTCCACAAATTTTCCATTAAATCAGTAGTAACTGAAGACTTACGAGATAGGAGCGGCAACAAAAAATGATGACAGTTAAGAACAATGTGTCACACAAAAGTGACCAAAAAATTACAAGGACCAAAATTCAGAAAATATTTCTTTATTTCACATGAGTGCATTAAGTACATCCATCAGAACACACAATGACCTGAATTATGAAGATTCACATTAGACATAACCACATCCACTCGTTACCAAGGGCACACGTCGTCTATGTGTTGTGTCTGTACTCAAGTCATTCAGCAGTGAGTTTCAAATTGATCTGTTTATATAAGCATTTACCTCTCATTCAAAGGCAGCTTCTTGTGCATTTACAAATTATATTTTCACATATTTAAGTATAAATGTCAATACTATTTGTTTATACTTAATTATGTATTAATTTTTTGTTTTGTTTTAAGACAGGGTTTTGCTATCTAGCCCAGGCTGGCCTGTAACTCATGGTGATCCTCCGGCTTCAGCCTCCTGAATGCAGGATTACAGGTATGTGCCACCACATCTAGCCGTTAATACTATTTTATAATTCAATACATCTGTTGAGTGTTGCAGTGGACATACTAAATGCATGCATTCAACAGTCTTACCTGGGGCTTATATTGGGAGTCAAGTTTATTTTCAGGAAAATATAGTACAAAACACTGCTGAAAGTTAGAGGACTTAAAGAGACAGAAAGACATCCCACGTCCATGAATTAGAAGAACTAATACTACTGGTAAGGTGGCAGTATTCCCCAAAGTTATCTAACAATCTCACATCCCAAACAAAATTGCAGTAGCTTTATGTGAAAACAGGAAAACCACCCCTCAAATTCAGACAGCACTAAAAGGGTGTCCAGATAGCCAGGACAATTTGAACAGGGAAAATTTGAAGGATTTACATCTTTTTCCTTGCTATATGAGCAACTCTCAGAAGAATCATTGAACAAGTAGATTTGGTCAGACATAAGGTCACACATGTACAGTCCTGTTTTAGGAAGTATCCAGAATGAGTAAACCCTAGGAGACACATAGAACTATGGTTGCCAGGGCCTGAGGAGGCAGGAAAGGACTGACCACACCCTAGATGGGCATGGAGACTTGCTGGGGTGACAAGAATGTTGTGGAGGTGGAGGTTGCCCAGCATTGTGAGGGCAGCAGATCCTTCCAAGCTGTATGCTTTTAAACGGTTAACTGTGTGCTACATGACTTTCATCTCAATTTTTTAAAAAAGCCCAAGACAGGAAGGCAATCTGTTGGCACAGCCCCCAGCCCAGGGCATACCTCAGGCCATGAGTGTTTGAATGCCAGTTTGGCCTCTCCATTGGTATAGGTCCAGAGGGAGGTAGGGGTGTGTGAATTTGCAGTTTGAAAGCCTGCTCCCTCTGCTAAAATTCACATGGCAGCCATCTCCTGTGAGGGGGCTATAGTGGGGACTGCAGCAGGGCACTTCCTGGCTGAGCTGGTAGGGGCCCTTATGGAAGGGGTTCCATACCTGCTTCTGCCTCCCCTACATGAGAACACAGCCCACAAGGCAGCACCTCAGAGCCTGATCTTGGATTTCCTTCCCAGATCTGGTCTCCAGACTATGAGAATACCTTTCTGTTACACTCAGGTACTTTTTTATAGTGGCAAGCAGATCCTGTGGCCACAGTTGTCTCCCACTCTGGCCTCCATGGCCCACCTCTAGCTTCTCTGACTCAGCTCCTTGTGGGAGCCATGCCAGAGCCACACAGGGCCTGAGCCTCACCCACTGACCCAGCTCCCAAGACAGCACAGCTGCGCGACATTTCCACGTCTGCCTGTCCTGCAGTGCCACCGCGTGGCCAGCTCGGTGTCACAGTTGCCTACCCCAGCCAGGCCAGACTAG